CCCAGCCTGGGTAATTCAACAACTTAATGAGACCCTGTCAATACATACATACATACATACACACACACATACAGGTTGAGGATGCAGCTCAGGGCGAAGGCCCTGAAGTCACTCCCCAGTGCACCCACACACTCACTCACACTCTCACTCCTCATTTTACCACAGCCTCTCTACTCTTTACCTTGGTTCTCTGGTTATTTTTCTCGGCATCTGTCATCATCCATATTTCTATATACTCTTCATATTGATTTTGCTTTTCTTGGTATGAACACCCCATTCCACACGTCAAGTTGCTAGAATTTAAACTCTAAAAGGTCAAATACCATATGATTCTATTTACTATTGAATCTACCATGCCTGGAACATAAGAGATTAACCCTTGGGTAAATACATTTTTGCAAGGTTACAGTTTGCATATTTCATTTTTACAATCATTTAGCAAAAAAGAGCTGCATTTCCAGGAAGGAGCATAGAGCCCTTTGATACCATATTGACCATCCAGGGGCTGGGGATTTAGCTCAGCGGCAAAAGCGCCTGCCTGGCAAGCGCAAGGTCATGAGTTCGGTTCCCGGTACTGGAGAAAAAACAAACAAAAAAACAAAAAACAAAAAACATATTGACCACCCATTACTACTTCAATCAACGAGATTTTCTTCCATGCCCCATCAGTCTAGAGCTTGTGCATGAGGGAAAGAACTAGCAGAGATGCTCAGCGGAAAGTGCTGACCAAATAATGAGGAAGCTCACACCCAGTGCAGCAGAAGCCTGTAAGAACTTTGAGAAGTAAAGATCCAGACCCTCAGGTAGGAGTAGCTGCTTATGTGTAGCAGGATCTGTCCTGAACAGTGGGTACTACTGGGAAAGTCATCTGTGGAGAAGAAAGACATTCTTAGTGAAGGAAAAAAGCATGAAGGAAAACCGTGAGGGGAGACCTCATTAGGAGAGAGAGAAAAGCCTACATATAAAAAATGCATTATAGGGGCTGGGGATTTAGCTCAGCGGCAAAGCGCCTGCCTGGCAAGTGCAAGGTCGTGAGTTCGGTTCCTGGTACCGGAAAAAAATAAATAAATAAATAAATAAATTAAAAAATGCATTATACAAAGTATTGGGAACCATATTTGGGGGTTGGGTAGTGCCAACTAAATTGTTAGGTGTATGCGAGCAGGAGTAAGGTAGAGGGCAGCAGTAATCAATGGGTCCCACTTGTTTTCTCAGCAAGAAGAGAGTAACAGGGAATGTGGAGTTTGAGGGAATCCATCCTGGCACCGTTAGGGGATGGTAGGGACAGCGCAGAGCCTAGAAACTGAATGAAGACCCTGCTGCAATAACCAGAACTGAAGTACCTGCAGAGAAAGAGCAAGGGAATTGGTGTAGGATGCATTGTGAAAGAGACATAAAAACATCTTAAAATAGATGCAATTTAGCCGGGTGTGGTGGCACACACGTGTAATCCCAGCACTCAGGAGGCTGAGGCAGGAGGATCATTGTGAGTTTGAGGCCAGCCCGGGCTACAAATTGACTTGAAGGCCAACCTGAACTGCATAGCAAGACCCTGGCTCAAAAAGATAAAAACAAAAAATGCAATTTGGGATAGGAAGAAGCAGCCTGGAAAACCATTTCATAATCATTATGTGTAGTCATGACCTAGTCCATAAGGAAGAATACATAGGCTAAGTGAAGGTAGAAATCCACTCCAAAGAGTAAAAATACTCACGCACAGTACCTGTTAATATAAGCAACTGCTTGCTGTTAGGCATATAAACTGATTGTACCAGCTGAACACACTATCTTGGAACAGCAAGTGTTGCCCTTTTCCCTCAGGACCCAGGAGTGCTCTTAGGAGCCCCAAAAGGCATGAGCTCTCTGGAGGGAACCCCATGCTCGAGTTCACAGAATTGCACATTTGGGTACCATTAGCAAAGGAGGATGCTTTGCCTCCAGTACCATGGGACCACGGGAGAATAAAGGTCATTGCTAAGGCACCAGTACTCAAACCTCCCAGGGATGCAGTGCCTGAAATCAACACGTCTTAGAGAATACGGAAACCAGAGAAACAATTGCATCGATGACAGCCCATTTTGGTCATTTCCAGCAGGAGCGAAGCCACAAGAGCCACTCACTGGAGCCGGCCGGGAGGACCATCCCCAGGGAGCTCAGCTTACGGCTGTGCAAACCCAGGTGGTTAATACTGATGAGAGACCTCTCCGGGAACACAGAGGGCAGCCTGTGGTTAAAAGCAAGTCAGCCCACTTCCATGTCGAATGAGAAATACAAGACAGTGATTATTCAAGTTTTTCATAACCTAAGGCCCCTTTGAAGAGTCCACAGAGACCTTCCCCCCAAACAGCAAGGAGGGCATTACTCACATGCTCCAGGCTTTTAGTATTTCAGTGCATTTTAGACCTCACAAGCCTGTTCTCTGTGTTTAGCTACTCAGTCTCAAGTCAGCTTTCTCCCTGCACAGGCCCCTGTCAAAGGAAGACGTCACCAACGAGGCTGATGCTGAGATGTCAGTGAAAGAAGAACCATTTTGAATGATTCTTCTAAAAGGCGTAGCACTCCAATACATTTTGTCTTATATTTTGTGTGTATATGAATGGATTTATGCATACGTGTGTGTGTGTGTGTGTGCATGCGCACCTGTGTGGATGCACAGCAATCTCTCTTGGTGACCAGTGTATACAACCCCTGTAGGATGGCATTTTGGATGCCTTTATTAAGTTTCATAAGTTTAAGATCAAACCTATCTCTGGTCCTCACATCTAACTTACTCTCCTTTTTCTGCTAGCACGTTCAGGGCCCTCTCCCTGAGCAGTAGGGTTGAACCCCTGAAAGCAAGCCTGCTGCTACTGTTTTCAGAGAGAACAAAAGCCAGAATGCTGGACTGAATGGCAGCAGTGTTTACGTGGACTGAAGTAACATTGGGCTTTGCCATGGGGTTTCTTTTTTTTAAGATCGTGAGTGTGCGGAGACAGGTCAGGTGTGACACTGGGCAAAGACAAGAAAGAAAAAGCTCCAGTCTTTATCAAGTTGTCAGGAAGACGTACTTTTTTAAGGTTTCTTTTGGCAGCTACCATACCAAATGCCATGGATATTTAAGCTAGTCAGACGCTGCTCCTGGTGGGTGGATTTACTGTTTAGACTTTCATCATGCCTTCAGTTTCAGAAATCTACACTCCTGAGTGGAGCAACACTAGCTAATGACTGTGCTCACAACCCCGACTCATTAGAGATGCTGAGTCTGGTCCCCTCGGGGGAGGGCATGCCCGGAAGGAGCCTTCTTCTCCTCCCCAACTTCCCCTGCCCCCGTAACAGGCACACCCAGAATTCTACGCCGGGATTCTTGCAGTCAGTCATAGAAAAATAGCATCACAACCTCCAAAGTCGGCGAGTGGAGATTCTTGGTTGCACAGAAACGTGCAAACCCGTCATCTTTACGCAGTGCACACATTACCTACTCCTCCTCCAGGAAGACTCGGTCAGTTTTAGTCGGTAATTCAATTAGCAAGCCTTAGTAAACACAGACTCTCCCAAAGCCAGGGCCTGTCCAGCCAAAATGCTATGCAATATATTTACCCTGAATGCAAATCACATAATGCGCCCCGTCAGCCCATCACTGCTACTGCACAAGCAAGAATCCTGAGTACTCAGAGCACTGTGTAGAATCAATTTCTATATAAAAGTAATGGGCAAAAGGTGCTTTAGTACACTAAATGTTGCCCTCAGGGCGGGCTGTCTCCAAGGATGAGCAGGGCACTGTAAAGCTCTTGGGACATGGCCTTTGCATTGTAAAAGCTGCACCACATGATTTACACAAATCTTTGCATATGTACCTTTCCAAATTTTATACTATTATAATATGGCTTTGAAGAGAAAAAAATCCAGGATGCTTTGACTATGTTTATGTATCTGCAGCCCAACATTTTTACTGGGTAAAAGTAAACAAAACAGAAGTACATATTTAATCTGGCAGCCTACTTCCTTGTTGTAGGAATATTCAAAAATCCCACCTGTTCAAACGTGGTGCATGATCCACATGAGCATCCCCGACAGGTGACAGACTAACTATGTCCTGGCACTCTCTAAGCACATTCACAATCTCAAAATGTACTAGAAGACACGCCTTCCACCTTGGGCAAACAATTCTATTTTAGAGGAAAATATGGATTGCCTTCCTACTAAGAACTTCATGCTTCACAGAAATCAAAACTTGGGCCACAATACCCCAGCCCAGAATCCTGCAGATTTCCAGGGAGTGCATGGGATCTGTTGGCTGGTCAGAAGGTTGGAAACATAGTTAGCTACACTTATTGTCAGATGTACCTACTGTTAGGCACTGTTACTTTTTAGGAAGAACCAAATTATCTACTATTTCTGAGCACACTGGGTACTCCCCCCTTGGTAACACATCAGTACAAGTCCCGCCACACAGCAGATGTTGCTTTAATGGTTCTAAAGAGTTAAAGTGCTGCCTAAAGTGGACACAGGTCAGTGTCTACACCCAGGCGGCCCTCAATTAGTGCTGATGGATTGACTTTCTCATGAGCAGTAAAAGCTCAATTTCTGGAGATGGATCCTATGAGACTAAAATCAATAATTTAAGAAAACTGTGTCTTGGATTCTATGTTTGCAGCATCAGAACGCGTATAAACATAAGAACTATGTGTGTTAGTTCCCATTTTTAAAAAGAAGGTGTTTTCCAGTTTATGGATGCATTAAAGATTTCCCCATAATTTTGTCATACTCTAAGCATAAGCAGACCATCAAATGTGAATAAAATACAAATACTATTGTGACATGAGTGGTTAAGAACTCAAGAGCTCATATCTGAAGATAATATGCAAGCATTGTCAATCAGTAGCAATAACTTTTAATCTCAGCAATAAAGATTAGTATTAGACCACATTGAGTTGCTTGTGGCCGATCACCCTAACCATATAGACTATGATAGATTTGTACATTATTCTGGCTATTCTTTGAGGAGATCAGCATGTTTTTGAAGATGTGCCAGAAGTGACCATTTAATTTGAAAGCATAATGAGTTTCCTTGTCAGCCGCCATCCCAGTCCTTGGTTTTACTCCTCTGTCAGGTGACAGCTGGGAAAGCAGTGCGTTTCCTCAGTCAAAGCAGAGCCTTCAAGGCTGAGGGAGAGCGCTGCGGGCTACTCCAGCAGGTCTGCTCAGGACCCTGTGTCCAAACCAGAGCTGCACTCCGCACTGGAAGAGGTGAGCAGATCAGCTGACAGCTGGAACACGACAAGATGGGAAGTGGAATTAGTTCCGAAAGCAAGGAGTCAGCCAAGAGGTCCAGAGAGCTGGAGAAGAAGCTTCAGGAGGATGCAGAGCGAGATGCCAGGACGGTCAAGTTGCTTCTCTTAGGTAACGCTTTCCCCTTCTCTTCCAATTCAGAGGTTGCTTCAGTTATGGCACACGCACTTTTCTCACACTCTAGTTCCAGGTGTTTCCATCTGGGGATTCGTTATGAAGAAGTGTTCAGAAACTTCAGTAGACTTTATGTGAGCCGTACACACATTGTATAGTTTTTGTGTTTATGACATATTTTTGATAAGCAAATGCTGGGTACTTATTGTATATTTTATTTCACATCAATACATGATTGACTATTATTAAAAAGCTCATACACATTTATTATTTTGCCACACCCTAATAATTTCTTAACTGTCAAGACTTTTTTATATTGAAAGCAACCCTTTAGTTACAAATTGTGAAGATATGTATTATTTTGTTTGAACAAAACTATGTTAAGTAGTTTGACTCCAAAATTGATATGCTATTTACTGATGCTGTTCAATGAATCTCAAATTACTATTAATTATAAAGATCTTTATATCAATAATATTTTCAGAGTCCTGGCTCCTGCCTGTGATGATGTTGTAGACTCGGAAAACACTGTGTTTACTTTTGTTTAGAGCATTTATATATCCATGCAGGTCAGATTTGCTGTCTGTTTTATTTTTCTGTTCCCTCAAAGTACAGCACAAAGATTTACCACACCGTTCAGTTCAAGAAGTATTCAATGCATGGAAAGTACAAAATAATCCATATGGCATGAGTTTTTTCAAGAAATATTTAACATGCAGGGGCCATGAAAGGGAAGTATTTTTTGAACTAAAGACTTATGCGAAGAATATGAAACAAGATCTTCCATTTAATCCTGTGCTCACCTTATCTTATATACAAAGAAAGTCATTGCAGAATTGTGAATCTTTGGCTCAACAAATTTCCTTCATTTTTATGTGCTTGACTATTGCCTCTAATTTGCTCTTGGCAAGGGAATTTTAGAAAAAAGCTATGGGATTCCCAGCATTGCTTTTCAAAAGCAAGGAATTGTCCTCTCTTCTTGCAGAAGCTCTGCAGGGGTGCTGGCCACCACACAGCAAGTCACCACCCAGAGGGTGAGTTAGAAAGCTGCTAGGCCAGTGCCTGCGAAAGCAGCAGCCCCCCCACCACGCAGAGCTCTTCAAGGCTGGGACAAGAATAAAAATGATATGGACACAAGCAAAGCAACCAAAAGATGGGAGAAAGAGCAAAGCATTCCCACACGTGCGTTTGTATCCTCCTGTACTGGGAATAATGGCTGGAGCAGTGATGAGAAAAGTCATTTAAAATCCCTCTGTTTGCATAAAATTTCAAAAGAACAGACATGTGGATTCTACATGCCAATTACTACTTTTATATTTTCTCTTATTTTATAAAAATACAAATCAAATAGCCAAGAAGAAAGAAAGAATGAATATCTTGATTCAGACAAAGGTAGATGTTGTTAAACATGAAGCCAGTGACTCCTGCGGTAGCCCGTTGGAGGGCCCGTGAGCTGGAGCCCCAGCCGAGCAGGGAGCAAAGGCAAAGGAAATGCACCGATGATGGGAACACGTGGCTGAAAAGTCAGTGTGAGGGGGGAACGGGGAAGCGGACAAAAGTTCTTTAAATTATGGAATGAGAATCACTAGATTATTGATAGGTGGGCTTCCAGAATCAGAAATTTCACTATTCCACAGAACTGCTGGCTGCAGCCCAGGTGCTATGTGTGCTGTGAGGAATGCCAGTTATCTTTAGACTTAGGTGGAGATTTGATTGAGAAGAAAGTAATCTTTGTACAAGAAACCAAAACGATCATTAGTGGGACTGCTGTGCCTGCTCCTTCTCCCGCAGTGACAGATCATTTTGCCATTACCTTAAGATACGCTTGGGTTGTTTTGTTCCAACGTATGCACTGAATTTCTCAGCCCCACCTCATTTATACTAAGGGAACAAGATTACCTTTGGCTTTCTTACTTTAAGTGTATGCCAAACATTTGACTAAGTTTTCCCTTCCAGACTGTATTTGACTTCTATGCATGATTCAATCGCCCGGTTCAAAACAAGTCGTGCAGCTATAGTCTCCTTTTTGAATTTAATTTGCGTATCTACACCATAATTTTTGTATTCAATTTGGCCTCAACAGGACACAGTAAAGGTGTTCTACACATCTAAACTGAACCTTGCCACTCTCCCACCCTGAAAGCTGCCCAGCAATGAAATCTATTTAATTTGTGGCATCACTGAAATAATATCCTCCCTATGGCAATGGGCGCTGGATACAGTTTTTATGTTCAGTAGTGAATAGGTGTCTCATGCTGCTAATCAATTTAACCTTAGTAGTGGTCTGATCCTAGATCTTGAATCTAGCTGCCATTTTGAAAAGTAAGAAATCCACAAAACATTTTTGACGGAACTCATTATTTATGTCCACCCTCATTGTCTGGTGAATTTTCACATGCTAAGCAATGTCGCACTAACTTTCCAAATTTCACATGCACCAGAAGGCAGATGTCACTATTTGGTGTTATTGGATGTGTGAGTGTATGGAATCCAAAGAGATATCAAGGGCAGCTTACAACATTTAAGAATCAGCTTACACACAGAGTCCTTCTTTACTGTATCTTTCAGACCTTCAGTAAAATTATGCAACAGATGCCAAATCTGTGTTCTTAGCAAAAAAGCTGGCTTGTAGGAAACACTGAAGTTGGCTCATATAATGCAGGCACATCTGATACCTTTGCTCAAGGGATAATACCATGGGTTAAAAAAAAAAAAAAAGCCAAAAAAGTTAGCTAGAAAAGATACCCTAGAAGAGAACATGTTAGCAAGAAAAAAGCTACTTTTAAGATTTCTACTGATAAATGTTTGATTAAATTATATTTCTACTCAAGAGAAACACCTGTTATCTAATTGTGGAATCAGTATACATCACATTTCCTTTTTAGCTAGCTCCTTCTTATATATTCATCACTTCAAATTTCAGTTCGAATTTGCTTATTTCTCCAAGTTACTTTCCTTTGTGATTTTACAAATTTTTCTTGTACCAGCAGGTCAGATTCGGGGCATAATGGAGAGTTTAAGGGAGACGTTAGCTTTCTTTTCCATATTTGAGAGACTGTCTGGCACTTACGTGTCTAATGCACATTCATTCCACAGTTCTCAGTTGCGATATTGGTGTCAGGGATTTCCAGCACCACTGTGGACAGCTCACCAAGGGTGTTCTTTTCCATTAATTCCAAAACCTCTTATTCCTAACTTTTCTGTGTGCTCTTTTTTAAACATCACATTATTACTTTCTAATCATATCATCTGAGTTTTATCATTTTAAAATAGAAATCCAATCATCTGGCTTTTAGAAACATAATACAGGTAAAGTTTAGAGATAAAATATCTATTTTAAATGTGTGTGTATTTATTGTGGCTAATTAATATTTTCAAATTATTCCAAACATTTGCACTTATTCAACAAATGTATATGCATGGTATTTTTCAGTATTATAAGAAGAGAATTATGATTTTGACATTATATAAAATCTGTTATAAAACAATTGGTAAAATAAAATTTACACAATATAATAAGCTAAAATAATTTAAACCACACAGCAGAGTGAGAAGGATTTAATACTAGCAGAGCAGAATATGTTTTTAAGTCACTGGACATAAAGTGGGTTTCTTTCTGTCTTCATCAAGTGCAAGGCTCCTTTCAGCTCTCAGAGGACCTGACGCAAGCCACATAACCTCAGAGAAGTGGTTTGGTAAATCTCCAGACCAACGTGGCTTAGTCTTTGCATAGTAGATCCCCAAACTGAAATAAATTAAATGTTAATAAATGGATATTTTTTTCTATACCTTTTATACATAGCTAAAAAAAATAGGAGGACACAAACTCAGGCTAAATCAAAGTTACTTCCATTTCATATTTTTAAATAGGATTTGTTTATATTTTAGAAGTATTTCTAGGTATGAGTGGGAGAGACTGAAGTTCATCAAGTGTAAGAGACTCTATTTTGAGATGTCATTACATGAACCCGGCCAATGGATGGATACCAATAAATATATATAGACCCCCTGGGATAAGTCACTAGGATATTAAGACATACTGCCAACACTGTGTCTAGTTTTCTTTTGCTTCTCCAAATTAGAATCCTTGTTTCCTTCATTCCACATTATACATTTTTCTTTAAAATTTTATGAAATGATTTGTCTTCCGTTTCTAAAGCTATTAAATCTTGTAGCTACATGAACACTCTTAATACATTCAAATGTTTAAAACTGAGCACCAGTAAGCTGGAGAGAAACATGAGGCAGAAAAGATCTACATGTGGGGTTGCATATTTTGTCCCCGGTGCAGCGGACCTGGTCCAGCCTGAGAGCTGCAGAGGCGGAGGCGCAGGACCAGCCCTGCGTGTTTACCAACAGCAGCGCTCCGGCCTCATGTAGGTTTCAACAATGTCTCCTCTCTGCAGGCAAAAGCACTTAGAGAAATGTTTTGCATAATATTTGGTTGGGTTTTTTTTCAGATTAACTTATTTCATTTGATCAGCGGATTTTATTTGCTTTGTTTTTTCAAGGGTGGGATTCAAACCCTGGCCCCTGCGTATTTGGGGTGAGCACTGCGTGCTGAGCCACTCGCAGCCCTCTGTCGCACGGAGATGCATGATTTGCTCACATAGCCATGCAAATCATGTACTAAGCATGTAATATTTAACCAAATCGTGAAATTTGTTCATGAGATTGAAAAAATCCTGTGTCTGCGAGCCTGACTGCCATCAACTACAATTTAACAGAGTCTCTCCGGTAAAATCGCAGAGCACTTTTACAGTCACTTTTCTTTGGTTTGAGTCCTGAGTTATGAGATATGAGAGCAACACTGTACCTTTAACATTATTTATGTATGCAACACGCGTAGTTAACAAGCATAATTTGCCTCTCCATAGCCCTAAAAAGAAGGTTGGTGAAACATTTGACACTGGAAAGATTGATTCCATGATATATTTTATGCAGAATACACCAACCTCCATTTGAGATATTAGACTCAAGTTCACAGTCTGTGTTCT